AGATGGGTTATATTTTGATGATAAATAGCTGTAACATGAGGAACTTTTCCAACATTGTCATTTTCTTAAAAACAGCCGATTAATTGTGTCTCTCTCCAGTAGATGTTAGTGTTATTCTGTAAGTGTTTTTTTGGGTCAAATTCATCCAAAATGTGGGAAATACATTTTAGAAATAGGCAGTTCTGTTAGAATTAAGTATTCAGTGGCCAGCTCTGTCTTCTGTGCTGTCAGTGCAAATTACTCGGACTATTTGTGTCTGCTAGAGGTAGCGATGGCCGTCTTTGGGAAGCTATTGGAAATCCGTTGGCATTATTAGGAGAGCAGAAGCATTAAGCCTCAATAATTCACATCTTTTTTCTTTTTTGTTATTTTTTGTTAATATGGAAATGGCATTTGTGTCATGATCCCCAAGGTTGTGTTGGAATATTGATGTTGGCTGGTGCTTCATCCTCTGTGTCAAGGCTCTGATCTCTGCTAGGATATTTGTTAGCATCCCAAAAAGCAGCATCTTCTTCAGGCAGACGCTCCAGTATGGCACGCTGCAGGACCGATGGAAGAGGAGAGAGTATAGGGTTGGAAATCAGAGGTGGTCTACACCTGCCCAGCCGTGGGCAGGTCACTTCAGCTCTTCTGCTTCTTATCCATCCCCCCTCTCCTTTTTTTTTTCTTCTGATTAGTCTCTTTCAGACTAATTAGTCTCGGGTGACCAGATGCAGTGGTACTTTGGGGTGCTGGTAACAAGAGGGGCCAGGGACTGGTGCCGTATCCAGATCAGTGGGGTAAGAACCAGGGGAGCAAGAACAATGTGGATATGAGAATCATCTTTGAGAAGCTCCAAACCTTTGGCCTCGCCGGTGGCTTGAGTTTAGCCCTGGTTTTGCTGGAGCCGGGGAGCTGCAGTCTGCATCACAGGCGCTTGCTTTGCTACTAAACCTGGTGCACGTCGCAGCTTTGCTCGTCAGCACTGCTGCTGCAGGACCACAGGCTTGTGCACTAGCTGCACGCAAGTCCAAGCATGAAGCTGCTGGTTGCAATTATAATATCCATAGTTGTTGAAAAAAAACACTGTATGTTTTGGGTTTGCACCATGACATGGAGTTTCTTCAGGGCAGTGGGTCTGCACCATGCTGTGATGTCTCTCTGGGATGAGGCTTCACCCACGTGCATCCAGAGGAGGCCAAGAGGCCAACACTCTTTGCGTTGATGCAATGCTTGGGTCTTGCTCCTGCCATGGTCAAACGTCTCCCAAGGAGCCCCGGTAAGTGAGCAGCGCCAGTGGGGACACCAGCAGCATTTTATACTGTCCCTTAATATATTTTTTTGGTGGCTTGTGACAGCAGAGGAGCAATCTGTTTAGCAGAGGTCTGCATTGGAGAGCCCCCATATTAAGCCTGGAAACTGCTTCCCCCCCACCCCAGACTGAACTAATTCGCTTGTTTTCGTTACCATCCCGCTGTCCTTCGTGTACCTCTGTTTGCTTTCCTAAGCCAGCAGAATATTAACATTTTTACAAGAAGCCAGTGTTTAGAAATCAGGTTTCTGGTGAAACAGCCCCGAGCGCGGGCAGCGGCAGGCAGGGCTGCCTTTCACCAGCAGCCCAACCCTTGCCCTCGGCGGGGGATGTTGTCCCCTGGTCTTGCCCTGACCCAACAGGGCTTTTGAACCGTGTCATCCCCATTATTTTTAGACCAAATGACATTTTTTGGCTTGTCAGCCCTGGCAAGTTTTGCCATAAAATAAACTACTTTTACAATAAAAAGAAACACTGAGTGTATTACATCAAGGGCTTAACTCAAGCCAAGGATTTCAGCTAAGGCTGCAATGTTGTCCTTATTTCACCTCTCTAGGGCATATGGTCGCTCTTGCCAAGCCACGGTCCCGCAGCGGAGCATCCCGGTGGGACGGTCAACTTTACCTGCCATATCCCTGCTCATTTTTATATTTAATTCAGTTTCTGAGAGGAAAGATCAGGACCTGTCAGAGCAACGCCACTTACGGAGACTCAATGTTTTGGTGAGAGCAAGTTAAACCGTCAAGAGAAGGTTTAAACCCTGGTATGCTTGTCTGAAACCCCAGCGAGCCCTTCTCACCCAGAGCAGATGATGCAGCTCTTTTAGTTTTCCAATTTCTAAATTTTTCAGGAGTTTGCTTTTTTTCCCTTCCTTATATTTGCATTGGCATCGTTCCTTCTTGCAAACATGCCAAAGACGGGGGGGGTGAACTGGGATCTGTGGTCATGGCTAGCTTGCTGGCATCTGCTCCGGGTTTCTGATTTCGGTGGATGAGCTCTCATGCCTGCGGTGTCGATTCCCTGCACTAATATTGCTAAAATGATTTCAGGAACCGCGTTCACCTTAGCACTGGTGACGCAAGCGTTAGCAGAAATGCCTGCATGCTGCTGAAAGACAGACTCTTTACCCGTAGCACTGTGTTCACTTATTTTGGAGTAGAGGCTTTCAACGCTGAGCATGGAGGTGGGTCATTGGGGAACCAAAATGTGTAACACACCCCTGGACACCTGTCGTAGGAGATAACGAAGCTGGTAATGCTGGTTTTTATAGAATGGTTTGGGTTGGAAGGGACCTCTAAAGGTCGTCTAGTCCAGCCCCCCTGCCGTGGGCAGGGACATCTGCAACTAGAGCAGGTTGCTCAGAGCCCCGTCCAACCTGACCTGGAATGTTTCCAGGGATGGGGCATCCACCACCTCTCTGGGCAACCTGGGCCAGTGCTTCACCACCCTCAGCGTAAACAATTTCTTCCTTCTATCTAGTCTCAATCTCCCCTCTTTCAGTTTAAAGCCATTCCCCCTTGTCCTGTCGCTACAGGCCCTGCTAAAAAGTCTGTCCCCGTCTTTCTCATAAGCCCCCTTTAAGTACTGACAGGCTGCAATAAGGTCTCCCCGAAGCCTTCTCTTCTCTAGGCTGAACAACCCCAACTCTCTCAGCCTTTCTCCATAGCAGAGGTGTTCCAGCCCCCTGATCATTTTCGTGTCCCTCCTCTGGACCCGCTCCAACAGGTCCGTGTCTTTCCTGTGCTGAGGACCCCAGAGCTGGACGCAGTGCTGCAGGGGGGGTCTCACCAGAGCAGAGCAGAGGGGCAGAATCCCCTCCCTCGCCCTGCTGGCCACGCTGCTGGTGATGCAGCCCAGGATTCGGTTGACTTTCTGGGTTTTAATACGAACACTGGGGTCTTCAAGCAACCAGGGAGCGGAGGAGATGCTCACGGCTGTGTCCATCCCTCTGCACTGTTCTGAGGTCAGGAGGAGCTGGTCTGCAGATGCGGTTTGGGACTCAGAGGACTTTCAACAGCTGGTGGGACTTTAATCATCACCTGTCTGAGCACGAGATGAGCCAGCACCAATAGCTTTTGATGAGCAGCCGCCTTGTGCCAGGCTGGGCAGTGGGTGGGAGATGCTGGACCACTGAAAGCATCCCACCGCGCTTTTGGGTAGACTGAATAAAACATGGGGGGAATCTGGACTGTGGGAACTGTGGATGTGCCTTCTAGGGTTTGTTTTATCACAATCCGTCAGCAGTTTAATCCTCGTTAAAATTCCAGCTTTTAGAAAGTAATGGAAGAAATGAAGGAAATTAAGTTTAAGAACTTCATCCTTTCACTCTCTAAACTACTACCTTCTTGTCCATGATCCCATTGCTTTATTTCTCAGGGATTGTATCTTCTCACAATGATAAACATTTCCAAAAATTCTAAAATAAATAAAGAATTTGGAAGGTGGCATTATCCAATATTGAGTTATTGTGGTTACTGAATGAAAAATCACTGAACGACTTTAGCAAAGCAAGGGAAGCAACGTGCATAGCTGATTTCTTTTCTGGAGAAGCTCTGTCCCTTGATTTGACGTGTTGTATGAGGTTTTGACCCTGTCCTATAGATGTGTTTAGTCCCCTTTAGGCAGTTGGAGGGGACTGGCTGTGTTCTTGGGTCGGAGAGTGTCACGGTCTTTGGTCAAACCTCTTTAACATCCTTTAAGGTGAAGTATCCAGAAAGAAGCCTTAATTGGCTTTCTTGCCCTTATTGGGCTTACATAGTGTTTTATTCAGTTAAATAAAAATATATAATTCATTGTTAAGGAGCATTAACATGTGGGATACTACAGTCTTCTAGTCCTCATGACTTCTGGACCTTCTTTGGTTGCTTAGACCTCTCGTTTGCCTTAGCATGGAGTAGTTTACCCAACATCTGTTGAAATTACACCCTAAAAATAAGGCTGAAATATCCATGTGTTGGAGAGAGCTGGAACCCAGGAGGTGCCCAGTGTTGGGACTGGCCAAGGACCGGCTGTGGTGGGAAGCTCTCTGCCAGGAGCAGGTTGGGGCTGGGAGGACCATGCGTGGGAGGCAGCCTCAGCGGGAAGTGGGGAAGGGGTTCGTGGGAGGGTGTCGCATCCCGTTAAGAGATGAGTCAGTTTGCAGCTCTAATTAAAGCCCAGGCCATGTGCTGAGGGGAAAGGAGGTGGTGGGGGAGCAGGAGTGCAGACACAATGCGAGGGGTGGAGCGTCCTCTGCCAGCCGTGAGTCAGAGGAACTGGGGGGGAGATGACAGAGGAGCTGAAGATGGACTGAAGGAGAAGCTTGCAGGAAAGGGAAACAAAACAAAAGCAATCAAACACACTTATACAAAGCATTGAAACGGGCTGTGTTTAGATAGTTGTTGAAATGCTGTAAGGCCAAGAAGCTAAAAATTGCAGGGATACGGGGAAGAGCTCAGTCTGTGATGGGATGGTGGTGCTGGCTGTGAGGGCTTGCTTGGCCAAATGGTGACCAGGGGACACCAAAAGGAGGGTAACGTGATCGTGTGTTGTCTTCCCTTCACACCGTTTCCTTCACAAATGAAGCATCAATTCAATAAGAAAGATTTGCGTTGCGTTAGTTACCTCTTCAGAGGTCACTTGGTCCATGTTTTCTGGCTGTGGCACGGAGGAACCGCTCCTCCTGCAGCTGCAAAAACCTTGTCCTTACCCTGTCTGTCTTCGGTTCCAGGTGCAAAGTAGGTCAACCAACATGAGTGGCCTTGGGGACAGCTCAACGGACCCTGCCAACCCCGACTCTCGGAAGAGGAAAGGCTCGCCCTGTGATACAGCCCAGAGGTATGTGCGCTGCTCCCAGTCGGTCCCCTGCCGCGGCTACTTTGTCATTCCTACTGCGTCGCTCCGTCCCGTCTGCTCGAGCAGATGGAGCCGGGTTTCAGCCACTCGGAAACGTTCACACTTCCCACCAGAACTTCGCTTTGCTTTTAGCGGTGGCTGCAGTGGAAGATGGAGCATGATGGAAATGCGGCTCCCCATCTGCTCTGCTTGTTGTTAGGTGGCAAATGATGATTAGAGGCTTGTTATCAAAGTTAATGTATTGATTTTATAAATTGAGAGCGCTCAGAGCATCAGGAAAGCTTTCTTGGGGTAAATTTGGGGGAGATACTTCCGCGAGGTCTGCAGATCATCCCAAGCCTTCTGCCTCTTCATGCCAGATTCCCAAGAAATCTGTGTTTTTGTAATATTCAGAAACTCCAGTGGAGACCCTCTTGCTCCATGGTGCAATTACAGAACAGAAAATATTTCTGTCTGAAATATCTTCATTTCTGTGTGCTCATGCAGACTGCTTCAAAGCTCAGCTCACTGCAGAAAGGCATCTTTTGCTTATGACCGAGCCTTCCCATCCCAGCTACCTTGCCACCTGATTTATGACTACAAAGTCCTAGATAGAGGCAGTTGTGATCTCCTTCCACGGGCTTTTCCAGGCTCCCTGTAAATCCTGTGCATCTTTTTCCATGGTGATATAGTCTGTTAGTAAGGATGAACGTACGGTGCTGCTGCTGACGTGGTGTCTCTAATGCCTGGGATGCTGTTTTGCTCATTGTCACAGAATATCGATGCACTGAGCAAACCCCAGGTGTATGTTCTGTCACTTACAGCTCATACATGATATTCTAGACAATAAATGTAAAGGCTACGGTGTTCCAGTAGAGAGACATTAAGAGGTTGTTTGAGGAGTTCTGTTTATTGCGGTTTTTGGTTGCAACATCTCCCTTCTGTAAGAGTTCACACACCTTCTTACAGAGGCTCTGTGGTTCATGGCTTAGCTGTGCCATTAAAGGAGTAATAATTGCAGAACATGTTTTGATAGCACTTGTAGCTGTCTTATTCCTAACAAATACTTCTGTAATCATGTGAAATATTTCCCCTTTCTGGCTGAGTCATTTGAGTCAGGGCTCTGCAGCCCTCGCTGCTGTCTCCAGGCTGGTCTCAGAGCCGGTCCTCGCCCCAGAGGTGAGTGTGGGGTGAAACTGTTGGTCCTTGGGTCCAAGCAAGGTGGGCTTGGATGCCTCTTCTTGAAGGAACTGCTCTCCAGATGGATGAGGACACACCTGGCTTTGCTTCATTTGGTCTACCTTTGGAAAGCAGATCTCTTGTGGTTTGTTTCCTAACCCCTAAGCACCCCAAGAAAGCCTTCTGTTGCCGACACCAGGGGTCTTTCAAAATACGAGGAACAAACTGATTGTACAGAAGCAGAAACTTCTGGATGAAGGATTCTCCTTCCTTGTCCAAGCACAACGAGTTTTTACATCCACAGAGCACCTACAAGCAATTTCGGAAGGGTTGACTCAAATACTTGTCATTGGGTTGGCCATCCAGCCCTGAACACTGGAGCTGAAGGATTTTACCAAAATCCAGAAGAGAAGTCCTCACCAGTGCTGTGTCTTCCTTTCAGACCATCTCCCGACTTGCAGCCGCCACGGGGAGGGACCTCATCCTCCTCCCTGGGCTGGCCAGAGTCCTCTGTAACGTACTCCGGAGCAAAGTGAACTTCAAAACTCCTTTGTTAAAACCTGGAAGGTTTAACTATTGCTTTTGATGATACTTGGGAGTCATAAAGAGCAGCCCACTGCTGTAATATTCTCATGATGCTTTTATGTAAGGAAAATTGGCCAATTCTCCCTCCTACAATTTGAAAGTTGCCACAGCAACAGCGACATTAAGGGTTTTCATGAAATGAGCTCACCCACAACAGAGGGAATTTTTTTTCTCTCCCCTCTGCTGTTGCCTTTTGGTTCGCAGGGAGAGTTAGGAGTTAATTTGACCTTAACTTAAATACTCGCCCAGCTCCTTTGAGAAGCATTTGCCTGCCCATTGCCAGGGAGCGTGACAGCGGCTGGACCCAGCACTTCTGCAGCAGGCGGACATCCAGCCTACCTCCATGAAGCTCTTTTTGCTGCCTGTGACCCCTTAGCACCCATTGGCAGCTGCCTGCTGGGGCAGCGAGGGCTCCTGCGCCCACCCGAGCCCATTGTGAGGAGTTTCCAGGTCGCACAGCATGTCTCCCGTGGACTTCACGAGATCGGTGGCCCGAGCAGAAACACGGCTTGTGTTCTCCACACCCACAGCTGGCTTTGCCTTTTCTTTTTCCTTTCTTTTTTGATTCTGCTGCTCCACTGAGTTAAAGGAGGGTGAGTCATTCCTGTTGCTCCTCTGGGCAGTCACACTACCTGGAGAGACATGGGCAGGAGGAGAAGCGAGGTGATGGAGAGTAAACTTGGGAGGCAAGGGGAGGTTCATCACGGAGGCTCATCCCTGTGGTCATCAGGTGTTTTCACATGAGAGCAAGTTTAAGCAGCAGTAAAATGCCCAAGAGACAACACCTACCTGTCAGACCTGGATATTGAGCTAATAAAGTGGCTGGAATTAGGAAAAAATAAAGAAACATCTGTGCAGCCTACCTGAGGAGCTCCTTAGAGGGGAGGGCTGGTGTTGTCTCGGCCCCTTTTGGACAGATAGGGTTTCTAAAGGGTCTCTACAGAGTTATCAGAGTATACTCATGCTCTGGTTGGCTTGCATTCTCAGCAGATAAAATAACCAAACCTCTTCTTGAAGCCTTCAGCTGTTAGCGGAGCTTGTTTGGCCACATAGCACAAGCCAGAGCACGTCTGTGGTGGGACACAAATCTCCTACCGAGCTGGAATTTTGGAATCAGCTTTTGTAACCAGTGTTTTCTCAGCCCCTCTGTGAGCGGTGAGGCCTCTCCGAGGCCAGAAACATCTCACCATGCCCACAGGCATCTCAGCAGCTTCTCGGTGTCTAGTAAATAATAGGGATTCTCAGGCAATACTTCTTATGTAGAGTGCTGGGCGTCCTGAGGAGGTTGTAACAAAAAATTAGGTGGTTTATTGAAAACCAACCTGATAAAAGGCATCGCAAGCGGTGTAGAGCCGTGTCGGGCATTTTGAGCTGTCCTCATTTCATCCCATGGTTGAGGTAGTGGAAGGTATTTAGGGAAAATGTGTCTCTGTGTGTCTGTCCTGTATGCACAGTTTGTTTTGGTGGCTTTGATGCTTATAATGCCTTTGGTAAAGGAATATGTTACAGTGTCGAGGGTGGCTTCAGTGATGGCCACGTCATAGCACGTAAATAATATATTCTCAATTCCCAGAATTTAGAAATCGTTGATGGGAGAGCGTTGGGCTTCTGCAGTGGCCGGGAGCTAAAAGAAAAGCTGCTTTCGCTGGGACAAAAAGGTTGATCTCATGAATATTTTTCATCTTCCTCTTGTCACCGTTGGTTCAGATTTTCACTTTGGTGAACTCCGGTGGATGTTGTTAACCTTTATGTGTGAATTTAGGATTAAGCTTGGCGACAGCTGGAATAGTGGCTGTGGAAAAATAAGAGGCTGTATATAACTATTTTTGATTATTTTTGTTATAACTCATTTATAACTATTTTTGAGAGGAAGGCAGAGGCCGGAACGTTAGAGGTCTGTTTTTGTTGGGGGTGCCTGGCTAGCCCTATGTATCTACCGTGGCATTAATTTTCATTATTTTTATATGCATACAAATATACAAAAGCCTGAAGGAACTCCCAAGTATTTTGGAGATACTGGGATTATAGCATGGCCATCACTCCAGCCAGTAGTTGTATTTTTGGGTTCTTTGTCCAGTGCCCAGGTGTGACTAGACTGAGCAGTAGGAAAAAATCATTAACGTGACTTTTAATTTTTTTTTCTTTCTCTAACAGCAATGAAAAGCGGCGACGGGAACAGGAGAACAAATATTTAGAGGAGCTGGCAGAGCTGCTGTCTGCAAACATCGGGGACATCGACACTCTGAGTGTCAAACCCGACAAATGCAAGATCCTAAAAAAGACGGTTGATCAGATCCAGCAGATGAAGAGGTTGGAGCAAGGTAAGGCGGCAGCCTCCTGCCTTGGCTTGTCGGGAAGCTTCAGAGTAGGAGCGTTCTCCTGGTACCCTTCAGACACTAAATTGTGGTAGATAATCGTGACTTAATTCATGAAAAATCATGACATAATGGTTCCATTTGCAACAGTTTTCCTTCTCCTGCTGTTAGGAAAGCGTTGATACAAAAGGGTATGCTTTGCCCTCATTGCTCGGCTTGTCCAAGACGCCACCTTTGTTTCTGGTGCAAGGTGGCACTTTACTCTGTGTTTGTGATTCATCCTGAAATTATTCCTTAGATTAAAATAATCAGAAGTGCTTGTTAAGCTTTCAGGATCAGGCCCATTAAGTGCTTATCGGCAACACTGCTATTAACTGCGTGCAGAAACCCCATTTTATAGCTGGGTAAGGTGAAGGACAGACAGCTCTGCTACACGCTGTGCAAGACTTGGTGAAGAACCATGCATCCTTGTCAGATCAGTTCTCCTGCCAACCAAGCAGATTAGAGGAGGCATTAATCCACCTCCTGCCAGTGAATATGGCTCTGTAACTGGTAAACGGAGAAGGGATGCTTGAGAAGGCATATAAAGGTTAAAATTGACCCCAAGTGTCAACTCATAGACTGAAATGTAGAAGTCCAAAGGGCTCAAGCGATGCACAGGAGAAGGGGTGAGGTGTATTAAGTGGGGGGCAGGACTTTTTCAGGTCCTTGTAACCCCAGCATCCCTCCTGGAGCTGCTGCAGGTGGGTTCCAGCTTGCTCTGCATCGTGCCCTCTATAGGCTGCCCATCTCGTGCGCTCAAATACTTTGTCCTCTGTGCAAATACTTTGTCCTTCATGCAAACGTTTTGTCCTTCGTGCACAAGGTGAATCCTGCTCAGTATTAGCGCTGAGAGCGCGTCATCCGTCAAGCATTGCCTTTGCCAAAGCTCCCACTGCATGCTCCGAGCGGAGCGGTGTTGCCTGAAAACAGATGTTAAATTTTTCCCAAACCCCATGGCTGGAACGTGGGTATGCACGCACAGGCTCTCCATAGAATCACAGAATAGTTTGGGTTGGAAGGGACCTCTAAAGGTCATCTAGTCCAACCCCCCTGCCATGGGCAGGGACATCTTCAACTAGAGCAGGTTGCTCAGAGCCCCGTCCAACCTGACCTGGAATGTTTCCAGGGATGGGGCATCCACCACCTCTCTGGGCAACCTGGGCCAGTGTCTCACCACCCTCAGTGTAAACAACTTCTTCCTTCTATCTAGTCTGGATCTCCCCTCTTTCAGTTTAAGCCAGGCATTGCCATAGGTCCTCCCAGCTCGCTATTATTTCAGGCACCGAATTTTGGGGCAAGCACAGTGGCAAAGCATTCGGCTCACGTTGCACAGGCTGCCCAGGCTTCCTGACGAACCAGGGCGACTGCTTTTAGATTTCATTCACGTTGCGCCCGGGCTCTGAAAGGAGTTTGGTAGCGAGTGAGTACGCCCAGGTTCCTGCTCGCTGCCACTTCACCGTTCATTAGTTTTCTTGACATTGCACAGCAGGGCTGAACATTAACTAGGACAAGCACTACTTAAAAATATTATGCCCTGAGTTTTGCTCTGTATTGCCGGCTTATCTAGTGCGGTGCCAAATTACCGAAGAAAAGAAACTTCACCTGTATTTGTTTTTAGCAGTTTACTGCGAGAGCATGTTGCATGAGGAGGTAGGAAAAATATGGCAAAAAGTCAGAATATTTGTGGCCAGAGGCAATTTTCTGTCCTTGTCATTATATTGAGTGTTAGACGTCATGTTTCCCTGCCCGTGTCCTTCCTCCTCCTCCTCTCTGTTTCTCAGCCATAAACCTGATTAATAATTGCTAACTGTTGAGGGTGTGGTTTTGCTGCTGAAGTATTGTGAACGGCGACGTATCCTGCAGCGTTGGCCGTGCTCTTTCCAATGCTCCGTTAGGAAACCCACCTGGAGACGTGATTTCACGTAACAGAGAGGAGCCGGGGAGTTTGGACTTTGCAGTGGTGTGTTACAGCGGGCTCAGGATGTCCCAGCAAATGATGCTGTTCAGCCCAATAATAAGCAAAACTCATGAGCGCTGGGAAAAATGATGCTAAACCTCGTAGCAGAGCAGATCTCAGTGAAAAAACAGCCAACGTCCTGTTATTAATTTAATTTGGAAAATGTGCCAGGCGTAGAGCTGGGGAGCTTGGGAGGGGGCAGGTGGCAGCACAGGGGGAGTGGCCGGGGGGGCAGCCTCACCCCCGCTGCCAGCCCTGGAGGGTTTGGAGGTTGCATCCCACCGGCTCTCCCCCCTCCTTGCACGTCCGCCGCAGGTTGTCCTTGGTTTTAACCCGCAAAGGGGTGGAGGAGCCGGCAGAAGCTTGCAGATGGATCGCACGCAGGGGCTGAGCCCTCCCTCCCATCCCCCTGCCTGCTGGGCTGCTATTTAAAGTATGAAGCAAATGCGTTTAGAAAAGATTCCTAGGTCTGGACACTTTCCAATGTTAGTAATGTACAGTTGGCAGAACAAGCGGTTTGCGGCTGTGGCAGCAACCTGAAATTCATCTGCCAAGACAGCAATAAACGCAGCGGAGGAAGAGGCCAGACAGTCAATTTTTCAGCCTTTGTCCGTCCCGCAAAAGTTTTTTGGATTTTTTTGAGTTGAGTGGTTTGAGTGTTGGAGCCCTGAACGGTGCCTGCGTGCTGTCGATCGCCGGGGAAGGAGAAAAGGCCACCGATGCCTCCTGGGCGGTGTGGAGGTCAGCAAGGAGAAGAACTCTCTGAGCATCTTGCCTGGGCTTCGCGGGGCAGCGGTCCATCTGTGCGGACCTCCCTCCCCTTTGCCTTCAGACTAGTGTCTTGCCCAGCAAGACACGGATGCTGGAGGTCCTGTCCTGGGGTGGGTCCTCTGCTGCAGAGCCATGCCATGATACAGAGCTGATGTCCATCCATCACACGGAGGTGAGCTCGCCCAAGGTTGTTTTAATTCAGAGCAGTGCTGCCGCGATCAAAACCCGACGGATGGAGGCAAGCTGGACAGCTTCGCTGCTCAACGTGCGTCGCTCTTTGGCTTGTAGGGTTAGCAGAGGTGGTGTAAAGGCCGTTAGAAGAAGCCGTCAGGGCAGCGTGGTGGTGCTGTGATGGAGTCAAGAGGCTGCAGGACGGGGAGGAGGCTCAGTTGCCACTGGGAAGGCGGCCAGTGCATGGTTACAAATGCAAAAATAAGGCATCTTGGTCATACAGGAGAGTACAGAAATGAGCAGAGATATTGGAAAAACTGCATTGATGCACGGACCACCGCTTGTTTTTTTCTTTTTCTGTAAAATGATGTAATACTTGGTGCCTACCCTGCAAGTGCTGTGGAGGTTGGGGTCACCACTGCCCCGAGGAGAGGCAGAGCCTCGGCATCCAATGCTCCTGCAACGCCAGGCTCTGCGGTGGCGGGCAGGCTCCAGAAAGGTATTGCCTTTTTTCCCCCGGATGATTTTTTTAGTTGAACGCCCTGGTTTTGGGAGGGTGATAACCTTTGGTTTATGGAAGGGGTGATGAGCAGTGTGCAGAGATCTGACGGAGATGGGAGGCGGCAGAGGGGTCATCTCGTCTCCCTTGTAGAGCTCCCAACTTTGGCAGTGTCCTTTTTAAGATGAAGCCAAGTCTTTTCCCAAAAGCCCTCACAACTGATAGGCTGCTTAATTTCCTTCCAGAGCAGGAGTATAAATGCCGCACCTTAATAGAATAAATCAAATAGTATTGAGCTTTTCATTACGCCACCTACAAACTCAAACAGCCGCAGAGGGTTGCCCTTGAAACACCTCCTAAGGCATCGCAAGTGACTCTGCCACCGCCAGCGTCCAAGGGACCTCCTTCCCCCCGTCCTTCCTGTATTTGCTCATCGCTGCTCGCTGGCGGTCTCTCCCGCTGTGCCGCCGTATGTTTGGCTTCTGCGGGAATCGGTGCGCAGAGCCGGCAGCTACCTGGTCCAGGAGCAGCCGCGGCACGGCTCCCGGCCCCGCCAGGACGCGTGGGGCGATGCTCATGAGTTTCTGGTCCTGCGAGGTCCAAAAGCCCCAGCAGATTTACTTTGTAGTTGCCAAAATAAAGGATTTATTCCGTGTTTGCTTGGATTTGTACAGCTTAACTTCTCTCATGAAGGACCCCGAGTCGCTGCTTGCCTTTCCAGTGCAAGGCTTCTTATGGCAATGGAGGGTCATATTGACCCCATGTACGACACCTTCAGCCCCAGTGAAGTCTGGCTTTTCGGTGGTGGAGCTGCTGAATTTATTCTTATAGATGTATAAAGAAAAAAAAATTCAGATCTTTATTAATGCAGTTTTACTCTGTAATAATGCTACAGAATAGTGACCTGATTTCAGAGTGTTTTAAAAGGGCACTAGGAGAAGAATTAGCTTTCTTTCCCGAACGTTACTGTGTTAACCTGCAAAGATGACCCTCAATTTTTAAGTTGAGTTACTTTGGGCAGGGAGGGGGAGAAGGCCATTTCTTGAGCCTTTACTTTAATAATTTTCAGGGGGTTTAGGGATAAGAGCATTTCTGTCTCTTCTCGGACCACACAAAAATTCCACAACTTGTTCTTCTACTGCGTGGAGGTGTCCTCTTTCAGGTCCAACAAAACCACGGAGCAGTTGTGTCCTCCTGGTGTCTTTTTATTTGTTTTTTTCCTGAAGTGTGGCCATAATAAGACGGGCTCCTTCAGGCAAGTTTGTGCTCCTTTGTCACTGGGGCACATCAACCCAAAAAGAAGAGGACCCTTAATCTAAGACCACCCCCCATTTGGAAGTTAACCTACTTGGGGAAGTAATTTTCCTTTTGGGTAAATACAGCAAGTTAATTAAGTGAAGTATATGAAATAATTATTGATTTTGGCTGTTCTGTTGCATACGATCATTGGGCTGTCAGTGGCTTGCCTTTAATTAAGTTTCCCTGCTGTCTTGTCATATGCTTAGATTTGGCCCTGGATTTATTTTGTGATATACATGTACAGCTTCTAGCGCAGAGATGTCCTGG